CCCCCCCCCACCCCTTAATTTACCAGCCTGAAAATAGTTTTTTCAATGCCGTTCTACAGGTTGAAGGTCACAGTAATAGTTGAAAAAAAGAGAGACATAATTTATCTCGGTCACGTTATGATACACACCAAAGTTCAGGTGTTCTGGTCGGCTTTTCCTGACTTTTTTTTTTTTTTTTTTTGCTTTCCGTCCCATCTTAATTTCTGATTACAGTATTTTTTTTTCTTCTCATCCTTCCCGCTCACAAACAAACATCGTCGACAAGATCCCCGAAATGAACACGCAGAGAATGCAAGCATGGCAAGGCCAAGGTAGTTTCCCGTGTGTGTGTTAACAGATTTCGGGGCGCGCGCACACACACCTGAGGCGCAATGCGCTGCAGCGACTTGTCTGTGGGTGGTGTATGTAAAGCACACAGAGGGAGGGACGGGGTGGGGGGGGGGGGGGAAGACGGGGGGGTAAGCCGCGAGTCACAAGTGAAGAACGACTTTGAAGCATTTGTCATGAGGCCAAAGAAACTCCCCAAAATGCATTAAACCATCTTTCCCACGTTTGTTATTTTATTTCTTTTTTGGGGGAGGGTTGGGGGTGGGGGGGCTGGGTGAGCATTGAGCTAGCCAGACAATTGCAGGGCACATCTGGACAAGGTCAAACCGATTTGATCTATCATTAAATTGAATGGAATCAAACTTGGGTATAGTGTTACGACGCGCAGAGTATCGCTTTACGGTGGCATCTGTCATGACAAGGCCTTTTCAGACTAGTGAAGGGTGATAAAACTCCAAATCCCAAAAAGCACGAAGTCAGCCCAAACCCATTGTTCTCTTGCTCAACTGCTGCAGATTTCCGTCGCGACGGCACTAAGTGTCATGTTTGGCCGCGGTATCAACTGTCAGGGATCGGCCGCGGATCAAAGCGGGCCAGTGAAAAGATCAGGATTCCCCCCCCCTCCCCTGGGAGTTGTCGTGGGAGTGGCCCATTCGCCTCACGTGGGTAGCGAGGTTATTAGAGTTAACGAAAATAAAAACCAGAAAACAAAAGTGCATTGTCCATTTCCAAAAAGGGCCTCTGCAGTCAAACTACACAGAAAACAAAGAGAGTGATATGTTGTGTATTTCCTCCTATCTTTCTTTGGCTTGAAGGCCATTTGCTTTCTGCTAGGCCATATTCGCAAATACCGTTTGATGAAAAACATCGGCATCACTGTGTTTCATTGACGATCTCAAAATACTCACATGCATATCATCTTTATCCTCTGCGAAGAACACCAACACGACTGCAGCTCATTAAGTAGCTGAGAGCGGATCCATGTGCTGACATAGCCCCGTGGTTCTCAAAGTATGGTACTCGTACCACCGATGGTATGTGCGCTCCCACTCATGGTACCTGAAAGAATCAATCACATAAATGTTGAAACCGCGCATCATGCTATGGTGGCTTCAACGTTTGTTTGCTTGTTTTTTTTTTTTTTTTAATCCAGTACAATAATAGGGCCTTTGTAAAGTCCACTTCAATTGTATTTAACTTTTAGCATCAATAGATTTACATTTGGTACGTTAGATTGGAGATGCATCTATGCCAATTTCAATCGGGTTGATCATGCTCTTCCAAAGACACCAAGAGCAGATTAAGTTAGGAGCGATCGGCTGCCCAATTTATCTCATATGCTCGGTGATACGGATCTAATTTCAGCCTCTCAGTACCACAAACAGGAAGGAGAAGCTCGTCGATAAACAGCCCGTGGCCGCTCTGGTTGGAAGGGGGGGGGGGCTGTTAGGAAAGACAATATGATCCCCACAGTAGAAAGTGGGGGCAGGGGGAGTGTTATTGTCCACGGCAAACTATATCAACCTCTAATTCCTGTCATGAACCTAATTAGGATTTTGCGCATTTGCTTAAAACATTGTATGGAAAGGGAGAATACTCGGAGGTGAGCCTCACTCCTATTTAAAAATAGCATCGGTGAAAAAGTCAAAATAGTGTCAATCAAAAGTGTCATCTTTTCAGATGACAATTTGCGGCTCAGAATTCGAGTTTCAGATGTAAAACTGAGGCAGAGGAGGTCAAACATCAGCAGGGGTGAACCCGAGAGCACGGCACGCTGGAGAATTGATGATGAGGGACTCAGATTTAACCTGCT